CATGAGCGCTGTCCTGCCTATACTCCATCTCAGCTATGTTCAAATTACTACACAGAAACTATGTTCTGTATCTGGGATCTTTCAGTCAAATGCTCTCTAGTTACCTCCTTAACTCTTTCACTTAATGGTTATGGAGATACTGAAACGTAGGAAAACTGCTACTGAGCAAGCAATTAATTAACTTGGCAAGCGTGTTCATTTTCTAGTTGAGCATCGGAAAGCATGTCGCAATGGAAACGAGTGTCAGGTGACCAATTATGGAACCAAGAGAGTGGGGTGGTGGGAGGCAGGAAGTCACATGATTTGGCCTCCAGGAATATACCTGGCCAGAGTAGCCAACCCAGTTGCATTAGGCACAAAACAGATTTACTCAGAATTTTGGGTGCAGAAGACATAATTCGCAGTGTGCCCACACCTGTTCAAATTGTGGTTGGTAAAAAAAAACAATATTCACCTAATCAGCTCTTCAAAATAATTATGGCACCAGTGTCTGAGCATCTAGCACTGATGTCCTCTTTCCAACCCTACACACAGCAGCGGGACAAACAGCAGCATACCTGCATTAGTGGAAATAATGACACAACTCCCACTGCTTCTGTTCTATTGCAGTTATGCTGTTGTATGTAGCTGCAGACACCTGCTTATAGAAAGGATATTGGAGCTAGAAAGAGCGAGTGTGTTGACTCACCAGGATAATGCAGGGATGAAAATCCCTGGTTACAAAGACAGAATTCTTAGAATTAAAAATGACACAGCACAAAATATGGTATTTTGGCTCATCATGCCTGTTGCTTAACATCTGAAATTAGAACAGAAAATGCTGGAGAAACTCAACAGGTCTGGCAGCACCTGTGGAGAGAAAGACGATTAACATTTCAAGACCGGAATGACATTTCAGGGTTCTTTGAACATTCTTTCGATAAGCTAATCTGTTTTAGTAATGCTGGTTGAGAGATTAAATATTGTTCTGCTCTTTTCCCATAACTCTCTATCATCCTAATAATAAATCCCACTCCCCTACTCTCTCCTCATAGTCTTGTATCAATCCAATCCAAGGCGAAACCCACTGACCCACCCCCCCATCGTAGTCTTGTATCAATTCAAAGCTAATCACACTGTCTCATTCTGTCCTCATAGCACTATACTGTATTATTTTAGCCTAATCCCTCTAACCTCCCATTCTTCATAGATTTTATCAATGCAAAACTCATCCAGCTGCCATGTCTGACAATTCTGCATCAATCTAAAATTAATCCCATTGTCCCAAATCCTCATACCCCTGCATAAATCTCAAACTATTCTCACATTCACATGCTCACCCCATATCCCTGTATTAATACAAAACTAATGCCACCACCGTTTATCTCCTCATGATCCTGTGTCAATCTAAAAGCAATCCCACTGTCCTGTCATAACAAGGTGTAGACCCGGATGAGCACAGCAGGCCAAGCAGCACCACAGGAGCAGGAAGGCTGACGCCTCGGGCCTAGACCCTTCTTCAGAAATTTCTGA